AAAAAAAAAAAAAAAGATGAAGGAACTACAATGTAATTATATAGTATTTAATCTCTGGGGATACTGTATTTTTCTATTTTACAGAGAACATTTATTGACTATAAGTTGAGTATATTCAATGAACACTTCAGCTTACCTTCCAAAGTGTCTCTTCAGAGGAAGTCTTCCAATATCTTGGATAAAAGAAATCTGAGCTGAAAACATATTTGAAAAGTTTTTTTTAATGCTATCATTCTTTGTCTTTTTCTTTCTTTTCTTTTTGGCAGTACTGGGGTTTGAACTGCAGGACTCAAGTGTGCTAAGTAGGGGTTTTTACCACTTAGTGCCATGATAGTGGGTATCATTCTTTTCCAACTGATAAGTAAAAACTATGTATATTTAAGTTGTTCAAAATGACATTTGACTTGCCCATGTAATTGTAACCCCTCTGTACAGTATATTCACAATAAAAAAAAAAGAGTGCCAAAAACATGACATTTGATTTATGGGTACGTTGTGGAATGGCTACATCGAGCTTACATGTATATTATCCTACCCACTTACTCTTTTGGTAGAGCCTGAATGAAAATCTACTTGTAGCATTCTTCAAATGTACTATATCTGTAGGTGACAGTACTGGGGCTTGAACTGCGAGCCTTGTGCTCTCACTTGGCTTTTTGTTGTTTGTGTTTTTATGGTGCTGGTCCTGGGGCTTAAACTCAGGGCCTGGGTGCTATCTCTGAGCATTTCTTTGTTGTTGTTGTTGTTCAAGGCTAGAGCTCTACCATTTGAGCTACAACTCCATTTCTGGCCTTTTTGGTGTTTAATTGGAGTAAAAAGTCTCATGGACTTTCCTGCCTGGGTTGGCTTTAAACTGCGATCCTCATATCTAAGCCTACTGAGTAGCTAGGATTATGGGTGTGAGCCACTGGTGTCTAGCTTGCTTTTGTTTTTATGCTAACACTGGGGCTTGAACTCAGGGCCTTGCATATGTGCTTGGCTTTTTCCTCTCAAGGCTGGCACTTTACCTGCCCTTCCATCATTAATTGGAGATAAAGTATTCCACAGACTCATGTCCCAGCTGGCTTCAAACTACAATTTTCAGATCTCAGACTTTTTTTTCCCCCAATCCTGGAGCTTGAACTCAGGACCTAGGTGCTATCCTCGTCTCTTTGTGCTGAAGGCTAGTGCTCTACCACTTGATCCACAGCACCACTTCTGGCTTTTTCTGAGTTTATTGGAAATAAGAGTCTAATGGACTTTTCTGCCCACGCTGGCCTCAAACCGTCATCCTCAGATCTCAGCCTCCTTGAGTAGGTAGGATTACAGATATAAAACATTGGTGCCCCTGGCAGATCTCAGACTCTTGAATAGCTAGACTTATAGTATGATCAGAAAGCTGGAAATGAAGCTGTGGTTCAAGTGGTTAGAGCATCAGCCTACAGTACAAAAGCTATGGAACAATGCCCAGGCCTTGAAGTGAATCAAGCCGCAATACCAGAATATACATACAAAATAATAATCCTGGGGCTGGGAAGGTGGCTCAGTGGTAGAGGGCTTGCCTTGCATGCCTGAGGCCCTGGGTTCGATTCCTCAGCACCACATAAGCAAAAAGAAAATAGCCAGAAGTGGCGCTGTGGCTCAAGTGATAGAGCGCTAGCCTTGAGCTGAGGGACAGCACCCAGGCCCAGAGTTCAGGCCCCACGACCGGATCCCCACCCCCAAAAATAATAATCCTCAAAAAATTAGCAATATTTGAATGTAATTTAGCATTACTGCTTTGACATTAACATGTATAAGTGAAAAATGTTATTTTCATTTATATTAGTATTTGCTTATATTATCAATTCAAGCGTGGGCACAAAATATAGTCCAGAAAAGTTTGAACAACTCTAGTCTAATGCTAGTTAGGTGGTTGAGGGGGGAGGTGCTTTCAATTTATTTCAACAGAAAGCATGTATCAATTCTGGGTCAAAAACAGGGAAGCCAGGTGCTAGTGGCTCATGCCTGTAATCAATCTTAGATACTGGGTCAATGTAAGGACTACAGTTGAAAGCCAGCCTGGGCAGAAAAATCTGTTAGAATTTTATCTCCAATTACCCACCAAAAAGTTGGGAGTGGAGCTGTGGCTCGAGTGGCAGATCATTAGTCTTGAGTGAAAAAGCTGAGGGATAGTGTCTAGGTCTTGAGTTCAAGCACTAGCACTGGCACATGTATGTGTGCATGTGTGTACACACCACACATACATATATTAAAAGAAAAAAGCAAGAACACAGAGGGAGTAGAAGTCTGATTTAAGTGGTAGAGTGCTAACCATAAATAAGCGAGCCAAGAAGAGCCGGAAGGACCTGAGTTTAAGCCTTATCACCAGTGGAAAAAAAGAAAGGAAAGGAGGAAGGGAAACATTTTATCTCACTATGTATTATGTATACACAGAGTACATTCGACTCACAGTAAGTTACTGTTATAAAACACGACTATTGGAAGGAAAGCAAAGCTTGCAGTTACCTTGATTTCGCATTGGAATGGTGAGCAGAGCAAGATAGGGCAACAGCTGTGTTTGAAGGCATAAAGCTGGTAGGCAGAAGTCAGAAAAAAGTGCTTTTGCTGCCAGGCAATTTTCCCGATACTGTATGGAAAAAATATGAAAAGTTAAATAAAACTGAAAATATGGTTATACACTGCTAGACAAATGTACCTTTTTTTTTTACTTTTTGGGAGAAAGTTTCATGTAGCACTGTATTAACCTCAATTTCAATACTTTGCCTTCACTTCCTTATGTACACAAATATATTTAAAATCTGTTTTATGAATTTATCTAATTATTTTCTCAGCATAACCTGAGACATTAGCAGCAACCTTCATATCTCATGTTTACTGTAGTTTCTAGGTTGAATTGAGACCACACTGTATAACTAACCTACACAACCCAGGCTTCTGTAAGAACTACAATGAAATGGACTAACAATGCATTTCTCAGCACATTTTTCTAATTGTTTCAAGTCAATGTGGCACAAGAAACCTCAAACTTACTTCTAAGTAAAATTTGTATCTTAGGGCCTTTTTGATTTTGTCTTTTTTTTTTTTTAAATGACATACGGTTTTCCTATATATCCCAGTTTGGCCTCAAATTTGTCTTGTTACTGATTATAGGCATACACCACTCCATCTAGTCATTATATCATTTCTTACTAGTGGTAGTACCAGAGTTTGAACTCAGTGCCTCATGCTTGCTTGGCTGGTGCTCTACTACTAGAGCCATGCCTCCAGCCCTGCTTTTGATTGGTTATTTTGGAGATGGAGTCTTAAGGACTTTTCTGCCCAGGTTGGCTTCAATCTGAGATCCAGAGGATCTCAGCCTCACAAGTAACTCAGATTGCAGGTGTGAGCCATCAGTGCTCAGCATCTATGATGTATCTTAAGATTACGAACACTGCCAGGCCTATGTGGCTCTTGCCTATAATCCTAGCTATTTAGGAGGCTAAGATCTGAGGATAGCAATCTGAAGCTAGTCCAGACAGGAAAATCCATGAGACTTATTTCCAATAAACTAACTACTCAGAAAAACCTAGAAGTGATGCTGTGGCTCAAGTGGTAGAGGGCTAGCCTTGAGCAAAAGAGCTCAGGGACAATGCCCAAGCCCTGTAATCCTATTCAGGAGGCTGAGATCTGAGGATCTCAGTTTGAAGTCAGCCCAGGAAGACTAAGACTGTGAGACTCTTATATCTCCAATTAAGCACTAAAAAAGCCACAAATGGAGCAATGGCCAAAGGAATAGAGCACCAGCCTTGAGCAAAAGAAGCTCAGGCACAGCACCCAAGCCCTGAATTCAAGCCCCAGGACAGGCAGAAAGAAAGAGGGGGTGGGGGAGGGGAGGAGGGAGGGAAGGGGGGAGGAAGGGAGGGAGGCAGGCAAGAAAGAAAGGAAATACAAGAACACTGTGGATTTAGCAAGTAAAATGATAAATTTTTCTATTTCTTAAAATTTCAAAGTAAGAACAACTTTATTGAGGTACAACTCATACAGTAAAGTTCAAATTATACAATTCAAATGCATAATGTACCCCAAGCTATCTTAGAACTACCTATATAGACGAAGCTACAACTTACCATTTTACCTGCCTCAGCCTTCTGAATGCTAAGATTACAGATATGTGCCAACATGCCTGATCAAAGTGTACAATTCTTTTTTTCCCTTCAGTCCTGAGTTCTGAATTAAGGAACTCAAACTTATTTGGCTTGCTTGCTTGGCTGGTTCTGTTCTACTCGAGCCTTGTCCATAAAAGCCAGCTTTTTGCTGTCAATTGGTGGAATCTTGAGCATATTTCTGCCCATCCTGGAGATTTCAGCTTCCTAATTAGCTAGAATTACAGGTGTGAACCTGTAGCAATAATGTACAAATATTTATTGTTACCTTTTTGTGTATTAAAAACCACTGAGGCTTGTGCAAGGGTCGAAAACTTGATCCTCCTTGGCAATGAGCAAATCCTCGGGCTTTGTTGGCATGTATCACACCTCTTGTAGCTACAGACGTACTATATTCCCCGAGTAAAGAGCGTGACTAACAAATCAGACAAGATGAGAAATTTAAAAAAGAGATTTATGAAGCAGCATAAATGGTACTACTGATACACAAAAAAGGTGAAACCAAATTTAGTTGCTTTGCATCCATTTCAACATTATCAAAGCCTAAAAATGATAGTGTTAGGGCTGGGATGTAGCTCAGTGGCAAAGCGCTTGCCTACCAAGTGCAAAGTCCTGGGTTTGATCCCCAGTACCAAAAGAGAAAAGACAAAAAAAAATACAGTTAAAAAAAATGATAGTGTTATCAACTTATTTAAAAGAAGACCAACTTAGACATAAAAATCAAATACAATGGGAAAACACTTTGTGGAACTTAAATGAGGGCAGGGGAAACAACTTGAAATACATTTTTGAGGCAACTTGGTGAAACCTAAGTAAGGACAATACAATGCTAAACTACTATAAACTAAACATCAATGTTCTCAAGTGTGAATGTTTTTCTTCACGCATGTTTGAAATTAACTTTCCACTTATTCAGCACAAAACAAATGTGTAAATACACAGACGGTATAAAAGTTGCAAAATGTAAACAAATAATAACAATAGGTAAGAACATACAGGCTTTCATTGTACTATTCATTGAATTACTCATAGGTTGGTCATTTTCAAAATAAAAAAGTAATTATATGAAGACATAAGAAATAATTAAAATAAGGTAATAGATATGCTTATTATTGAGCTGATTACTACCCATGAGTCCAAACCATCACACTGTAATTCATATACAGATGTATAAATATGCCAGGTGATGGTGGCTCACACCTGTAATCCTAATTATACAGGAGGCAGAGATCTGAGGATTTCAGTTCAAAGTCAGCACCAAAAAGCTAGAAGTAGAGCTGTAACTCAAGTTGTAGAGTGCCAGCTTTGAACCAAAAAGCTAAGGGGATAATGCTAAGAGCCTGAGTTTTAAAAAATGGGGGGGTGGGGGGCACTTGGGAATGTGGCTTAATGTGCTTGCTTAGCTTGGATTCCTCAGTACCACATACACAGAAAAAGCCAGAAGTGGCACTGTGCCTCAAGTGGTAGAGTGCTAGCCTTGAGCAAAAGCAGCTCTGGGACAACGCCCAGGCCCTAAGTTCTGAGTTCAAGCCCCAGGACTAGTAAAAAAAAAAAAAAAAAAAAAGGCCAGGCGCCGGTGGCTCACGCCTGTAATCATAGCTACTCAGGAGGCTGAGATCTGAGGATTGCGGTTCAAAGCCAGCCCGGGCAGGAAAGTCCGAGACTGTTATGTCCAATAAACCACCAGAAAACTGGAAGTGGTGCTGTAGCTTAAGTGGTAGAGCGCTTACCTTGAGCTGAAGGACAGTACTCAGGCCCAGAGTTAAAAAAAAAAAAAAAAAAGCACAAACACTGTTGCAATAAAAATTTTTTTTAAGTATTTTAAAATATTAAGTAAGGGCTGAGAAAGGTGGCTCAGTGGTAGAGTGCTTGCCTTGCATGCATGAGGCCCTGGGTTCAATTCCTCAGCATCACATAAATAGAAAAAGTGAGAAGTGGTGCTGTGGCTCAAGTGGTAGAGTACTAGCCTTGAGCTGAAGAGCTAAGGGACAACACCCAGGCCCAGAGTTCAGGCCCCACGACCAGGGGGAAAAAAATAATTAAGTAAAAACTGCTGAGTAAGCTGGGTACTAGTGGCTTATGCCTGTAATCCTAGCTACTCAGGAGGCTGAGATCTGAGGACTGCGGTTCAAAGCCAGCTCGGGCAGGAAAGTCTGTGAGATTCCTATCTCTAATAAACCACCAGAAAACTGGAAGTGGTGCTATGGCTCAAGTAGTAGAGAACTCGCCTTGAGCTGAAGAGCTGAGGGACAGCACCCAGGCCCAGAATTCAAGCCCCACAACTGCCCCCCCCCCAAAAAAAAAGGAAAGAAAAAAAAACTAATTTAAGCCAGGCACTGGTGGCTCACTCCTGTAATCTTATCTACTCAGGAGCCTGAGATCTGAGGATCATGGTTCAAAGCCAGCATAGGCAGGAAAAGTCTGTGAGACACTTATCTCCAAAAGCCATTCAGAAAAAGCTGGAATGGTGCTGTGGCTCAAGTGGTAGAGCACTAGCCTTGAGTGGAAAGAGGCTCAGGAACAGTACTAAGGCCCTGAGCTCAAGCCTCAGGATCCCCCTAAAAAAATTTACAAGTACTGGTGGCTCACACCTGTAATCCTAGCTACTCAGGAGGCTGACATCTAAGAATTGTGATTCAAAGCCAGCCAAGGCAGGGACGTGCATGAGACTTTAAACTCAAATTGAATACCTAAAAAGCTGAAAGTGGAGCTGTGGCTCAAGTGCTAGCCTTGAACAAAAAAGCTCCGGGTAAGCATCTAGGCCCTGAGTTGTAAGCCCCAGAACTGGCCCATACACACACACAAATTACAAGACAGTAAAACAGTATGTGGAGGGCAGATATAGGTACTAACAAAAGAAGCCAAAAGAGGGGAACAAAACAACTCAAAAATGTAGTGCTATGTATTAATAAGATACTGGATTAATTAGGTATAGTATAGTAATTAAGAAGAGTCACAAAACATGTCCAATAAGCCAACACTTTATCAATTTGAAATACAAACAAAAACATTTACAAAATATAGTCTTACATTCCAGTTCCCACTGATGATATCTGCAAAACTCAGAAATTCACTGGCTCTGACAAGATCATCTATTTCCATGAAGAAATCTACGTAGTTTTGGTGAAGATATAAATTAAACAACTCTCCTGGCATGTGTGACATTTCTACTATTTCCTATAAAAGAGTATAGAAATTATGTAACTCTGGTCAAAATACATAAGTTAGATATGTACTATCTACCTTTTAGTAAGAGTATTAAGTACTATGAAAGACTTTACCTCGGGTTGAACAAGTAATGTATCCCGATCATGCTCTGATAAATGAGACGGTAGCCGAGGTGAGTCTAATTCTGCTAAAGGTGCTCCTATAAGAAATTTCTAGAATTATTAAATACTATCGTTACAATTATATAGCACCTTATTTTTTAAATTTTATTTTATTGTAAAGATGCTGTACAGAGGGGTTACAGTCACATGAATAAGGTAATGAGTACATTTCTTGCTGAGTACTGTTACCCCCTTCTTTGTTTTTCTCCTACTCTTCCTTCCCTCACCTCCCTCCTCCCCCCACCTCGTTATAAAGTTCATTTCCAACATACTGTCTTGTGAGTATCATTGTTGCAATGGTTCATCCTGTGTTCTTGTTTCAGCATTTTGTTATTTCCCTTCCCCTCCCCAAATTAGGTAAATGTATATACAAGATGTAGGGTGTCAAAATCAAATACAGTGACAACAGGGGATATACCATAGGGGGAAGAACATACAACAGAAACAAAAGCACCTTGTTTTTTGTGTATTTGTATTGGGGGCTTGAACTCAGAGCCCTTGCTTGGCTTTTTCACTCAAGGCTGGCTCTGTACCATTTGAGCCACAACTCTACTTTTTGCTAGTTAATTGGAGATAAGACTCTTATGGATGCCGGGTGCTGGTAGCTCACGCCTGTAATCCCAGCTACTCAGGAAGCTGAAATCTGAGCATTGCGGTTCAAAGCCAGCCTGGGCAGGAAAGTCCGTAAGACTCTATCTTCCAGAAAACCAGAAGTGGCGCTGTGGCTCAAGTGGTAGAGTGTTAGCCTTGAGCTGAAGAGCTGAGGGACAGTGCCCAAGCCCAGAGTTCAAGCCCCACGACCAACCAAAAAAAAAAAAAAGAATCTTACGGATTTTTCCTGCTTGGGCTAGCTTCAAGCCTCAATCCTCAGATCTGTCTGTGAGTAGGATTAAAAGTGTGAGCCACCAATGCCCTGATACAGCACCTTTTATTTGAAGATTTTCAACATTTTATACATAATAGCAAAATACTCAGCAAACTGATAAAAAGATTATGGCTTTTAGAGACTTAAATCATCCATTTCTGTGGCTGGAAGTGTATCTCAACCTATAGAGTGCTCTCCCAGCCAGCATAAGCACCATTAAAAACCCATTCTTTAAAGTACTTCCCATTTCAGGTGTAGCCTGATTCTTTGCTTGGATTCAATTTATGAATCTATGTTGTTTAATTACTTCATAGGGGAAAGATGCTCTTTGCCTGGAGAGTAGAATGTTACTCCCTCATGCAAGAGGTTATAAATCACCACTAGGGGGGGAAAGAAAGGGTGGTAGAAAAAGAATCAGATTGCACTGGCCAATGACTTTCCAAAGTGAGAGTATACAGTGAGGTGAGTATTTTCATTGCTACTAAAACAATGGTCATTTACTTTCCTTATGTTGACATGAAGATTTCCATTTTGAAATACCAGTTTCTTTTTACAGGATCATAAGGCTATCAATTGGCTCTCACTGTTACATAAAGAACAGAAGTTGGGATTTCATTGAAAGAAGGGACAACATGGGGCGATTAAGGATGGGCAACAGGGATGCAGGGGCCCAGGGGGAGCAGGTAACCAAAAAGACCGAAGAGGGCAATCAACACTTGTAGTTGGGTGGGCAGCAAGTTAGTGAAAAGTAGAGAAATACACGAGGAGCAAAAGCCCTTAAGCTATCTGACAACTTGGCTAGGGTCTCAGTGCCAGACCTTGTGGCTAAGATAACTTTAGGCTACTAATACTTGCTGCTTAATAGCCTTGATAGACTGGCATCTAGTCTCAACAAATTGCACTTTATATATTTTATAGACATGAATATGGCCTACAGTTTGATTTTAGGTTTAATTATGCTCACAGTAAGAAAATGGCCTACATAGTTAATACAAAAATTTTCTGCTATATTGTAGGTCTTTCTTGTTAACAAACATTATCTTACCTGGCCCTAGGGGTTTCTTGTAACAACACAAAATTCGAGGCATTTCAAAAATGTGGCATCCTATTTCCACTTTACAACTAATATCAAACACATAAAAAACCCCGCATACATAGAAAGAAAAAATGCAGTTTCTTACTTTTACAATACAGAATTTTCCCCAAAGCTCTGAAGAGAAAGAGAGAGACATCCTTGCCACCAATGGGCTGGACCTCCTGATTTTCAAAAGCACCATCCGGTTTTTTTCCTCGTTTTGATTTTGACAGTGCACCATCTGATTTTAATGACATTCCTTTTTTCCTTGGCTGTAAATTGTTCTCTCCTAAATAATATGCATCCAAAGGAAAATATTTAAAATAAAATCAAAATGTGAAAATTAAAATTGAGCATTGCAGCTACACTAAACATTGTAAATAAAATATTTTCCTAATAAACAATAAGTGTAAACTATGTGAATTAAGAGTCTTCTTTGGGTTGCTATTAAAATGATATAAAATGCTTTTTAAAATGATCTCAGCTGGGTACTGGTGGCTCACACCTGTAATCCTAGCTACTCAAGAGGCTGAGATCTGAGGATCACAGTTCAAAGCTAGCCTGGGTAGGAAAGTCCATGAGATTCTTATCTCTAGATAACCACCAGAAAATTAGAAGTGGCTCTGTGGGCTCAAAGTGGTGGAGTGCTACCCTTGAGCTCAGGGACAGTGTCTAGGCCCTGAGTTTGTCACATGACAGACAAGAAGAAAAAAAATCTCATAATTTCCAACACCAAAAATACAAATAAATAGTACCTCGTAATACCTGCTGCAAATTTTCACATATTATTTAAGGGCACATTAATACAATCATATTGGTATAGGTACAATGTACTTATTCTTAGCATCTTACCTATAAATACGTATATTAACTCATTTATCCCCTATAACAACTCTAGATGGGGGAAATAATTTTTTTTGGGGGGGGGGGTCTGGTCGTGGGGCCTGAACTCTGGGCCTGGGCGCTGTCTCTCAGCTCTTCAGCTCAAGGCTAGCGCTCTACCGCTTGAGCCACAGGGCCACTTACAGCTCTTTTCTTTTTTCTTATATGGTGCTGACGAATGGAACCCAGGACCTCATGCATGCAAGGCAAACGCTCTATCACTGAGCCACTTTCCCAACCCCAAAGGGAAATAATTATTAAATACACATCTGTAATCCCAAACACAAGAAAATATTTGATTTCATTTCATAAATACTTTCGAGAAAGCCACTTACTTATTGCATAATGCTATGGCAATGGGTAGTTTAAAGTTACCTTTGGAAGAAAACTGGAGGCTATTTATTGCACTTCTGATGTCACCAGAACATCCTTGGCAAAGCAACTCTAGAGAAGTTTTATCAGGAACAGTAGTTTTTCCTCCATTCTAAAATCAGCAAAGTAAACTTTAGAAAACTTAAAAGAACCTCCCCGCAATCCATTTCTTAATAAAAGCAAAAATAACAAAAGACTTCATATTCATAGTCAAGTATGGGTACATGTGCCTATAATCCCAGCACTCACCCTCAGGAAGACTCGAGTAGCCAGCCAAGGTTACACTGAGACTATCTCAAGAAAGGCCCCTGTTTAAAACATGAATTGCCTTTGAATGGTATTAATGTCAATGACTGCATAATTTAAGCTAAAATTCGAGGAGTAGTAAATATTGTTTCTTTTACTGTGACTAGATTAATTTCTGTTTTTGTGCTAGTCCCTAGACTTGAACGTGTAGGGCCCAACCTTAAGCTTTTATGTCCAAGGCTAGCACTCTACCACTTTCAGCTATGGCTCTACTTCCAGATTTTTGTAGTTAATTGGATATAAGTCTCACACTTTTTCTGGCCAGGCTGGCACTGAACCATGATCCTCAAATCTGAGCCTCCTGAGTAGCTAGGGTTATAGGCATGAGCTGCCATTACCCAGCTGGCTAAGTTGGTTGTTTTTTTTTGTGTGTGTATGCGTTTTTTTTGTTGTTGTTGCTGCTCGTGGGGCTTGAACTTGGCCTGAGCACTGTCCCTCAGCTCTTCAGCTCAAGATGAATGCTCTACCACTTGAGCCACAGCGCCACTTCTAGTTTTCTGAGTGGTTTAATGGAGATAAACCTTGGACTTTCTGCCTGGGCTGGCTTTGAACTGTGATCCTCAGATCTCAGCCTCCTGAGCAGCTAGGATTACAGGCATGAGCCACTGGTGCCTGGCTGCTGTTAGTTTTTAAGTTCTCTCTCTCTCTCTCTTTTTTCTTTGCCAGAACTGGGGCTTGAACTCAGGGCCTGAGCATTGTCTCTTTTTTGCTCAAGGCTAGCACTCTAGCACTTGAGCCACAGCACCATTTCCGGTTTTTCCTGTTCATGTGGTACTGAGGAATTGAACCCAGGGCTTCATGTATGCAGGGTAAGAGCTCTACATTAAGCCACATTCCCAGCCAAGTTCTCTTTCTTTTTTCATATACGTAACACTCATATATACAAAGTTGCTTCATATACACAGTTATGTGTTTTAAAGACAGGTGTTAAATTTAACTATGCATGTTAATATATAACAAAAGAAGTTCCATCACTTTACCACATACTTCACAGTGCAGCATATGGCAAGATTTATTTGTCCTATTCCCCATTTACAAACTTGTAATTCTACATTAACAAAAGATTTAATTCACTGACTCTAGCTCATCCAATTTCAGACATTGTAAAAACTGACTATAAGCTAGGCAACAGTGGCTCACACCTGTAATCCTAGCTATTCAAGAGGTTGAGATCTGAGGATCACAGTTCAAACCCAGCTGGAGCAAGAAAGTCTCCAATTAACCACTCGAAAATCAGAAGTGGGGCTGGGCACTGGTGGCTTACACCTGTAATCCTAGCTACTCAGGAGGCTAAGATCTGAGGACTGCGGTTCAAAGCCAGCCTGGGCAGAAATGGCCGTGAGACTCATCTTCAATAAACCACCAGAAAACTGGAAGTGGAGCAGTGGCTCAAGTGGTAGAGCACTAGCCTTCAGCTGAAGAACACAGGGATAGAACCCAGGCCCAGAGTTCAAGATCCATGACAATAAATAAATAAATAAGAAGTAGTGCTGTGGCTCAATTGGAAGAACTCTAGCCCTGAGCACAAAACTTATTGGATGAGAAAAAGTCTTGCTAACTTTTTGCCCTTAATGGCACACCATCAATTCTGTGGTACATTCAATGAATTATTGCCTGTATTCTTCCCCCTAATCCCTTCATTCTTCTACCCTTTTTGTTTTGGCCCAACCCTCCCCTCTTGCAACAGCACGTTTCCTGGTACTTATTTTGTTGGGCTTTCACTAAGTCTTTTTAAAGATTTATACTATTTGCACTATCCATAGTCTATTACACTTCAGTTAATTAATTTGTAACCCCTTGCTTACAACCAAGTGTGTTTACTTGTAGATTTATAGACACAATGAATCTTACCACAAATGAATCTCAAGTTAGCTTATAGACATAAGCCACTGTGTTCAGCTTTTTTTATGTTATTCTTATTTCGGTAGTGTAAGGCTTTGCATTTGTTAGGCAGGCATTGTGCATGCTTAAGCCATACCTCTAGTCCTTTTTGCTCTGTTTATTTCTGAGACAGGGGATAGGAACTCACTTTTTGTTCATGCTGACTCTGACTAGGGTACATCTACTTTCTCCATCCTATTGAACATGGGACGTCAGCCATAATGAAAATAACTGAGCTTTTTCTGTTGAAGAGCTTTTTTTTTTGCTTTGGACTTCCTGGAACCATGATCTTCTTCCCACATTAACCATGATTCATGACTGCTAGGATGATAGGTGTGCACCACCATGTCCAGTAATGGGTTAAGAAGAGATCTTACAAACCCTTTGCTTAGGTTGATATTGAACCACAATCCTGACCATCTTAGTCTCCAAGGCAGCTAAGATTTAGCTAAAGGCATGCTACTCATTTTTCAAAAATTCTAGATATGCATCATTTGCCAGAAATAAAATGTAATTTAAAATCTTAATCCTTGTAGAATGAAGGATATTCCATGAAAATTATTACTACACACAATGTGGTAATAATGTAGCCAAAATGTATGGGCAATAGTTCTTTCTATGCTTTATGATGTGAGAGGAGATTAAACATCCAGGGTGAGGCATAGCTCCGTAGTAGAGTTCCTAGCATGTTCGAAGTCTTGGGCTTGATACCCTGCACTGAAGGGGGTGGAGGGGAGAAGCAAGCAAGTAAGAAAGAAATTCAGTATGTTTTTGGCAGTACTGATATTAGAATTTAGAGACTCATGCTTGCTAGCCAGGTAAGTGCTCTGAAGAGCCATGCCTTTATAGTTATTTTGAGATAGTTTCTTGTTTTTTTGTCTGAATATCTTTTTTTTTTTTTTTTGTCGGTCGTGGGGCTTGAACTCTGGGCCTGGGCGCTGTCCCTCAGCTCTTCAGCTCAAGGCGAGCGCTCTACCACTTGAGCTACAGCGCCACTTCCGGTTTTCTGGTGGTTTATTGGAGATAGGAGTCCCGAGATCCTCAGATCTCAGCCTCCTGAGTAGCTAGGATTACAGGCGTGAGCCACCAGCGCCCGGCTGTCTGAATATCTTGATCTACCTGATCTCAGCCTCACACATTGCTGGGATAAAAAGTGTGAGCCACAATACCCAACTATTGATTGAGAAAGGCTCTAAAAAAAATTTTTTTTTTGTCAGTCATGGGGCTTGAACTCTGGGACTGGGTGCTGTCCCTGCACTCTTCAGCTCAAGGCAAGTGCTCTACCACTTGAGCTACAGCACCACTTCCGGTTTTCTAGTGGTTAATTGGAGATAAGAATCTCATGGACTTTTCTGCCGGGGCTGGTTTTGAACCGTGATCCATAGATCTCAGCCTCCTCTGTAGCTAGGATTACAGGATTACAGCTAGAAAAAGTTTTTTAAAATTGCTTTCTTAAATTTTCTAATTCTTTTTTTTTTTTAATGAAAATACCATACAGAGGATTTATAATTACATGGGCAAGATAATGAGTAGAAATTTTCTAATTCTTTATTAGTCTATTATCCATATTTAAGACTAAGAATCACAATGATACATATCCAACTGCTGCAAACTTATTCTCAACATATTGGGCCCCTAATGCTACAAGTTAAGATTAAAATTAATCAGATACTTACCTTATTAGCTTCCATGGTCACTATTCGACTGAGAAATTTCATCATAATTGTTGGTGCCACAGGGTTGAAACTGTAGAGAGAAGTTTTATAAAGAAGGTGGTGGTCAAATGGTTAAATTTTTAAAAATGTAACCTATATTAAACATGATAACCAGAAATTTCTTTCTTACCTAATACTTGCGATAGAACACTCTTCTTGAATTATTTTAGGGAAGAGTAACCTATGGTGATTATCTCCACTGACACTGTCAGAGACTATAAATACAAGAGGACAACGACCAATCTGCACATATTTCCTAAAATAAAATACAATATGTTGAAATTTAAGTCATTTGTCATTTAATATGGAGTGTTAATTTAATATGGAGTTTTACTTTTTTTTTTTTGGTTGTAGGGCTTGAATCTGGGGCTTAGGCACTGTCTCTAGGCTCTTTTTCTCAAAGCTAGCACTCTACCATTTTGAGCCACAGTGCCACTTCTGGTTTTCTGATAGTTAATTGGGGATAAGCATCTCATGAACTTTCTCGCATGGGCTGTCTTTGAACTGTGATCTTCAGATCTCAGCCTCTTGAGTAGCTAGAATTACACGTGTGAACTACCAGCACCCAGCAGTTTTACTTATTTTGATCTTTTGTGTGTGTGTGGTCTAGGGTTCAAACCTAGAGTTTTACTCATGTTAGACAAACTCCGCTGGACAAATTCCATGGGATTACAATCTCAACACCTAATGTGCGTGTAAAGAATGATATACTTCCCTGACACTTACCTTAGAATTTCATGTAAAGTATGAGGATCTCGAAAAAACTGGTTAGGAAAATCCTATTAGAGATACAGGATAAATATTACTTCAGTTGTATTCCATTGACAGTTTATTTTCATATTTATATTTATCAAGGAACATTTTTAGCTAGCCAATGTATTTTAACTAGTTTTCAGAGAAATATGAAGTAGTTGATAGTCTAAATAGTAATATAAATCAATGTAAATCTTAACTTTTATATCAAACTTCTTAAGAGTTACTTATCAACTATATAGTATATTTCACTGAAAAGTAACTGTTCACAGATTTCCTTTTTTTTTTCTTTTGATAATACCAGGATTTGAATTCAGGATTTTGCCAATGCATTCCTTTATCCGTGTTTTTGCTTCAAGTTCTTTTTTCTTTTTTTTTGGGGGGGGGGGGTCTGGTTGTGGGGCCTGAACTCTGGGCTTGGACGTTGTCCCTCAGCTCTTCAGCTCAAGGCTAGAGCTCTACCACTTGAGCCACAGCGCCACTTCCGGCTTTTTTCATTTTGCTTATGTGGTGCCGAGGAATCGAACCCAGGGCCTCAGGCATGCAAGACAAGCGCGCTCTACCACTGAGCCATCTTCCCAGCCCATCAAGTTCTTTTTCATAGAAGTTCTTTTGTTCTTTTTTTTTTTTGGTCATGGGGCCTGAACTCCACACTTGGGCGCTGTCCCTCAGCTCTCCAGCTCAAAGCTAGTGCTCTACCGCTTGAGCCACAGTGCCATTTCTGGCTTTTTCTGTTTATGTAGTACTGAGGAATCGAACCCAGGGCCTCATGCAAATGCTACCACTGAGCCACCTTCCCAGCCCTCTTTTGTTTTTTCCTGAAGCCAGTTTAGACTCGTCATCACCTACAGCCTCCTGGGTGGTTGGTGGAAAGCTTAGATGCTGATAGGGTTTACCACATGTTTTGCCTGGACAGCCATGATTCACATTTCTCATACCAGTGGAGCTGAGATTACAAGCTTGAACCACTATATGCAGTATCCTTGACTTTCCTATATTTAAGCCTTTTCTTTTTGGGGGACTTGAACTGATCAGGGCCCAGGCAGTGTTTCTGAGCTTTTGTTCTCAAAGCTAGTGTAATAGCACTCCAGACACAGTTCTACTTCCAGCTTTTTGGTGGTTAATTGGAGATAAGTCTTGTAGACTTTCCTGCCAGTGCCAGCTTCAAACTGGGAACCTCAGATGTCAGCCTCCTGAGTACCTAAGATTACAGGAGTGAATCACCAGCACCTGCTTCAACTAAACTATTTTAACCTACAGTTATTCTACTTGTATTTACTAAAAGATTTTAGGCTTCTGATATTGAGAAATCTTTGTGTTCTTTTATTACATTAGTACTTTGTACATATACAAATGATACTTTTCACAATTGTTTACCCACTAGCTACAGCAGGATTTTAAAAGTTGTCCTTACTTCAACCAGAATTATCTTCTTATCAGTTCTCAGATCATCTCCAAGCATTTGCAGATTAGTATACTTTGCTGCTCTTAGTAGAAACTCTTTGAAAGTTGATATCTGAGATTGATAAGGAAATACATGGAAGTTTGATTCTGAAAAGAAAGACATAATGCCATTTTTATTTTCAATAAATTATATATATATTATACATATATATAACACAAATTCATATGAATATACATGATGTAGTTTATAACACTGGAGCCTACTTTATAACTATGTGAGTTTATTCAAATTCGAAACATTTGAACACTCAGTTCACAAAACAAATTACAACATGGAGAAAAATAATCTTTCTTTCTTTCTTTTTTGGTTCAGTCATGGGGCTTGAACTCTGGGTCTGGGCAATGTTCCTGAATTCTTCAGCTCAAGGCAAGTGCTCTACCATTTGAGCCTTAGCGCCACTTCTGGTTTTCTGGTGGTTAATTGGAGTTAAGAGTCTCACGGATGTTCCTGTCCAGGCTGGCTTTGAACCACGATCCTCAGATCTCAGCCTCCTGAGTAGCTAGGAATACAGGCGTGAGCGACTGATTTCAGAAAATAGCCGCTGGGGAGGGAGGCAAAGAGGGAATAAAAAAAATAATAAAAAGAAAATAGCTGCTGATAAAATATTCAATTTGCAAATATAGATTTGCAATAGATTCTTTGAACAAATTTGAAATTGTACATAAATGATCTAGTTAGAAGTTGGATCTTACATCTATAATCCAGCTATTCAGAATGTTGAGATGTGAGGATCTGCCAGCCTGGGCAGAAAATTCTGTGAGATTCTTTCTTGTTGTTGTTGTTGTTGTTGGTTGTGAAGCCTGTACTCTGAGCCTGGGTACTGTCCCTAAGTTCTTCAGCTCAAGGCTAGCGCTCTACCTTTGAGCCACAGCGCCACTTCCAGCTTTTTCTGCCTATGTGTGTGGGACTAAGGAATCAAACCCAGGGCCTCATGCATACAAGGTAAGCACTCTACTACTGAGCCACCTTCCCAGCTCCTTTGTGAAATTCTTATATCAAATTAACCAGGAAAAAGCTGGAAGTGGAGCTCAAGGGGCAGAGCACCAGCACTGAGTGGAAAAGCAAATTAAGAGCACAAAATCCTGAGTTCAAGCCCCAATACCAACACACTTATGTGTGCACACACATACAAAATTAAAAATTAAAAATAAATAATTTGGGCTGGGAATGTGACTTAGTGGTGGAGTGCTTACCTAGCACGCATGAAGTCCTGGGTTCCATTCCTAGTACCACATAAACAGAAAAAGCTGTGGCTCAAGTGGTAAAGCTCTAGCCTTGAGAATAGCATCAAGGACAGAGCCCAGGCCCTGAGTTCAAGGCTCAGGACTGGCACACACACACACACATACACAAAAATAATAATTTGTGTAATAAAGGATTAACTACAAAAATAGAATGAATAATTAGCAAATCTGGGAATAACAAAAAGTTCCCTGAAGATATGTTTTATAAAGAAGATTGTTTAAGTAAAAATTTAATTAGAGGAGTTTCAAAATTCCCATTTTCTGCAAGGAAAGCAGAAAATGTTTTACTCTTCTTCATTGCTCCCTACTTAAAATTCTTGCTATAACGTAACAAACAAAAATACTCCTCAGACTATAAAACATGTATTACTATTTTTTTGTTGTTGTTGTTGGTCATGAACCTTGAATTCAGGGACTCGGTGCTATCACTAAGCTTTTTTGCCCAAGGCTAGTGTGCTGCCACTTTGAACAAGAGTGCATCTTCTGGTTTGCTAGTGAGTTAACTGAAGAGACTCACAGTCTTTCCTGCCCAGGCTGGCTTTGAAACTCGATCCTCTGGTATATTTAAAGCAAACTCAAGAGCAAAGAGAAGATTCTGAGGAATATCCTACAATAAATCGTGCATATAGCCGGATGCCGGTGGCTCACGCCTGTATTCCTAGCAACTCAGGATGCTGAGATCTGAAGATCACAGTTCAAAACCAGCCCAATCTGTGAGACTCTTATCTGCAATTACACTCGAGAAAACTGGAAGTGGCACTGTGGGTTAAAGTAGTAGAGCACTAGCCTTGAGCTGAAGAGCTGAGGTACAGCGCCCAGGCCCAGAATTCAAGCCCCAGGACCAAAAAAAAAAACCCTTATGTTTTGTTTGTCATGATGTTATGATTTGATTCTAACAGGCACTTACTGATCTAAGCTATCTAATTGTGATCAAGTTCCTTTAACACATCTTAAGGCTTGATTTAAATTCAAATATAGAAAAAGATGTTATACTATATAATTTCTATAAAGAATAAAATCTTGAGCTTAGGGGCTGGTGGCTCATGAATGTAATCCTAGGCTGAGATTTGAGGATCATGGTCAAAGCCCAGGCAGGAGTCTATAAGACTCTTTTTTTTTTTTTTTGTCGGTCGTGGGGCTTGAATTCTGGGCCTGGGCGCTGTCCCTCAGCTCTTTAGCTCAAGGCGAGCGCTCTACCACTTGAGCTACAGCGCCACTTCCGGGTTTCTGGTGGTTTTATTGGAGATAGGAGTCTCACGGTCTCTCCTGCCCGGGCTGGCTTTGAACCTCGATCCTCAGATCTCAGCCTCCTGAGTAGCTAGGATTACAGGCGTGAGCCACCAGCGCCCGGCTTCTATAAGACTCTTACCTCCACTAAACTACCAAAAAAGACAGAAGTGAATCTGTGGCTCAAATGGTAGAGGCACTAGCCTTGAGCAAAAGCTCAGGGGCAGCATCTAGGCCATGAGTTCAAGCCCCAGGTCTAACACCAAACCACCCCCCCCCAAAAAAAAACAAAAAACAACTTGCTGTCTATCCAGATGCTGGTGGCTCACAACTATAATCCTAGCTACTCAGGAGGCTGAGATCATGGTTCAAAGCTAGCCCAGGCAGGAAAGTCTATGAGACTCTTATCTCCAATTAACCACCAGAAAACTGGAAATAGGCTGTGCCTCAAGTGGTAGAGTGTTCACCTTGAGCCGAAGAGCTCAGGGAGTGTGCCCAAGCCTAGAGTTCAAGCCCTATGACTGACAAACAGACAAACAAAATATTAACTTGCTATCTAATAAAATTGGTCTGGGAATATGGCTTAGTGGTAGAGTGCTTGCCCAGCATGCATAAATCCCTGAGTTCAATTCCTCAGTACCACATACACAGAAAAAGCTGGAAGTAGTGCTATGGCCCAAGTGGTAGAGAGCTAGCCTTGAGCAAAAGAAGCTCAGCGACAGTGCCTAGGCCCTGAGTTCAAGTCCCAGGACTAGCAAAAAAAAAAAGTTAAGCTTAATTCTAAAAGAAAAACACTCTCCTCTAATCAGGGTTCCTTTTCCCTGAAACTGGACATGATGGAGAAAAACTCATACAGCTTCCTCTGAAAGCTACATTAAACACAAGTTTTCCTGCTTTTTCAACCAGCTTCATAGAAAGTCTTACCATAATTAAGTATTTCCTTGAAGTCATCTTTTTGGAATTCTGGCAAAACTGGATTAATCCACTCTTGTACTTGAATACCAAGCTCCTTTGATAGTATTTTTAAAGTAGTTGTCTTACCACATCCAGGAGGACCTGTTATTAATAAAATAGATCCACCCTAAAACCAAACACAAAGATTAATTAAAAACCAAAATCAGAACTGGGTACTGTTGGCTCATGTTTGTAATCCTAGCTACTCAGGAAGCTGAGGTCTGAGGATCACAGTTCAAAGCAAGCCAGAGTAGGAAAGTATGCGAAAACTGGAAGTGGGGCTGTGGCTCAGAGGTAGAGCACTAGCCTTGAGCTCAGGGATAGCACCCAGGCCCAGAGTTCAAGCCCCAACACACACACACACACACGCACGCACACACGCACACACACACACACCTGCACAACACACACCCGCATGCACAAATCAGCAGTTTGCTATTTTTCTTTTTAAATATTATCTTCCATATTTATTAAATAGTATATGCAAACTAAACACTTGAAAATTAAACCACCTTCATATAAAATGAGATTCTTGTTTCCTGAATAATAAACTCTCCTTCTGAAAATTCCTCAATCCTTGCATTATACCCCTCTCAAGGACTATTTAGTAACCAAATCACGTGAGTGAAATTGGTTAAGGACATGAAGTTTGAAATGAGATGTTTTCAGAGGTCACCTAGATTCACAAAATTCAATCTTTTTTTTTCTCTCCAAATTCTTTATTGTGATTAAGTAATTACATAATTTCCCAAATGTCACAGTACTGTGGGATAGTGATGCTTAAAGTCACAAATGCATTCTAACTTTCATGGGGCAAATTGTCTATCATGGTCTATAACATTTATGAGTTCTATGAGCTTTGACAATACAATTATTTCTACAAAATTCAATCTTAATATGGACCTTTCACTGAATATAATTTAATTTTACACAAGTATAATATTCTTATGGGAAAGCCTCAGTTTGGACATTATGTCTTTAAAAACTGCATATTACTATACACACAGTGAGACCAAAAGAGGATTAGTCTTAGGAGAGAAACACAAGCATAATGGCTGTGTCTCATATTTATATAAAATAATATACATATAAAAATGAACTTCAGGGGCTGGGAATGTGGCTCAGTGGTAGAGTGCTTGCCTAGTATGCATGAAGCCCTAGGTTCAATTCCTCAGTAGCACATAAACAGAAAAAGGTGGAAGTGGTGCTGTGGCTCAAGCAGTAGAGTACTAATAGAGTACCCAGGCCCTGAGTTCAAGCCCCAAGACGGGCAAAAAAAAAAAAGAAACTCCAAGATTTTGAGACCTCTATTTTTATTTTATTTTCTTAGTCTTTATTTTTTGATGATTCTTTTTTTTTTTTTTTTAATTTGGTTGGCCGTGGGGCCTGAACGCTGTGCATGAGCCCTGTCCCTCAGCTCTTCAGCTCCAGGCTAGCACTCTACCACTTGAGCCACAGCACCACTTCTGGCTTTTTCTGTTTATGTGGTACTGAGGAATAGAACCCAGGGCTTCATGCATGCAAGGCAAGCACTCTACCACTGAGCCACCTTTCCAGCCTTTTTATGTATGGTGTATTCTTGTGTATCTCTTTGGAAGGGCTGGGGGGAGGGTACAGAATTCAAGGGAAAAATGGTGAAAAAGTGTAACAGTGGAGCTCACTGGACACTGATGAAAGTGAACTATACAACTCATCGGTAAAGCCGGGCGCTGGTGGCTCACGCCTGTAATCCTAGCTACTCAGGAGGCTAAGATCTGAAGATCGCGGTTCAAAGCCAGCCCGGGCAGGAGAGACCGTGAGACTCCTATCTCCAATAAACCACCAGAAAACCGGAAGTGGCGCTGTAGCTCAAGTGGTA